CCAGTCTCCTTACAGGTATCAGACGTAACAAAACACATATGTATACTACATTTGAGAGGTATGTACTATAGACCATCCTATTTCCTCCAAGTCTGATTCTTCAACACATCTTCATTATGATGAGTCTTTTCATCAGTAATAAACCACTTAATATCTGTGAGGCTCTATAGTTTAGTATACTTTTGTATACTAAAGAAGTTTTGTATACACAACTTCTTTACATAGCTGACACTTTGTACTCTGTTAATAAACTAAAAAAGTCCCTAAAACATTCAGAATATTCCTGTGGCCACAGGGCCACAGGAAGCCACTTTGGATAGTCATGGTGGTTGGCACAATCCACACCTGACTCTCAAACACCCTCCCCACTCCCCCTCCACCCACCCACCCAGTGGCTCTGGGCTTAGGGAGGCGCCTCTCAGGCTGCAGGAAAAGTCTCATCTATGAGGACATATTTGCCAGAACAAGTCAAATGTTAGGAATTTTCTCTTAACATTTATTTCACAAGTTTCTCAAGTGCCATGCAACTGGAAAATAATCATTTCAATGTACTCTTTAATCAATAAACATGAAACAAGTATGCTCAAAACACTCAAGTCCTACAAACATTTCCCAGTGAAAAGTATGGCATAAAAAAAAAAAAACCAAAAACATAATAAGTAACCTTTTGACAGTCAAGAAAGGTGATTAGTGATCCAAATTCAGACCAAAAAAAAAAAAAAAAAACCAGTCCTTTCAGCAGATGAACAAATATTTCCTCTGTAAGTGACACATTCTGAGATATTTACACTGCCAAACATAACTCATAATGACAACCACCAAGGAAGCTAAACCTAATGGAAAAACCCCAGGCTGGCAATCAGGAGCCCTGACTCTGATCCCAGGACAGACTGCTGGCTGTGTAATCCTACTAAAGTGGTGGCCAGGCCTGGTACCCCTCTCTCTAGGGGAGAAGAATACGCCTATCCTAAGAAGGAGTATCCATCACCACCCGCACCACTCAGAAATGTTTGGGGGATTAAAAAAAAAGAGAGAGATGAAAATGCTCTGGAATGTGTCTTCCGTAAATACAAGGCATTATTATTATTATTAGCTCAAAGATGACCAGGAAAATAGAATTATAGAATATCAAAGGTGAGAGGGAGCTTAGAGGAGATGATCCAGGAGTTCCTAATCTGGGGTCCAGGACTCCAATGCTGTTCATAGGTGTGCTTTCTGGAAAGAAGTCTGTACTTGTTATCAGTTTCTCAAACAGTTAAGAATCTCTCAGGCTCTCCTTTTACAAATATGAAAACTGAGACCCTAAGGTATGTGGCTGTTCTGGGCTCAGGACTAGTCAGGAAAAGGCTGGACCGAGCCCAGGGCTCCTAGTCTCCATCTACATTCTACAATCCCACTCTACAACCCCACATTCCAGGGAGGAAAAAAGTCACATAAATCTCATACAGCCATAGAACACATTAATATTACACAAACCACTACATATGTTCTTTCTAAAGTTATAGCAAAATTTCCCTCCGTTCATTTTCCTTAAGGCTTCTTGCTGAGGCCTGTGATCACTGAGACAGCATTTTATTCATTTCTACACCCTTATATCTTGTTCTTTCAGTCCCTAATGCCAAGACACTCTCAAATGACATTTTAATATTGAAACTAAAGTTTTTATTCTAGGAAACAAGAAAACTAGAATCCATGATGCTCAGTTTTACCAAGCAAACAGATAAACATACAATCATGGGAATAAATGCAAGATAATATACTAAAGTAATGCATTTTTGTCATGTTGTGTCTTTAATCAAAATACTAAAGCTTGTGCTCTTAGATGGCCATTGTCCCTGAAATAGTTACCTTTGGAACCACATGTATGCCAGGAATGTTGCATTGCACAGAATGTTTTGAGTTCTTTAAAGATCATCTCCAGTCGGCAGAGCACAATCGTTTGAATACAAAAATCTGAAGGAATTCCTACACGGCCATCCCAGGGACAGAACTGAGCCCAGCAGCAATCAGATTTCAGGCACTGACATGCCTTCAGGTGTGTGAAGGATCCCAGCCAGGGCCATAAAGAAAGGCCTCTACGCATGGAATGCAAACTGACTTCCTAACGAAGGCACTGCTGTGCTGCCTTCAGGTATGCAGCTGCACTTCCAAACAATCTTAATTGGGGGGAAAAAAAAGGGTGCCAGCACCATCACTCACAAGAATGTGGTCATTACCCAAATAATCTACAGGATGGCCTTGACAAAGTCACCAGCACAATCCGATGGCAGATAAGGCAGGCCCGAGTCAGATGAGGTCCAGGTGAGGGTGGCCAGAGAGCACTTGGTAAAAGCTATCATGATCTCTAAACACAAGCTGCTCTTACTATTATTAAGGAATCTGTGCCATCTTTTTGATATTTCATAACATCCTGGAATCAACCGTGACCCAGTCAGAGGAAGGAAACCTGAGTATGAGGCCCTTAACTCATCTGAACAGACTTCCAAGTGGATAAACAAACGAGAAAATTTAAAGACAAATGCCCCTCAGCTCCCAACCCAGGAAATACCTGGCCATCAGAAATCTGGACTGGGCATCCAGGACTGGAGAAAGCTAGCTATATGTTTCAGCAACAAGCTGTGTTCAAAACCCAGGTATTGCTTTTTATACATACCTACTTTTAGATTATTTAAATCTTATGACCTATATCTTACACACTTAGGGCTAAAAATAATACAGTTACAGTTCCCCAACAGTGTGAGTTAAAGAATGACATTTCCATTCAAATGAGTTTTCATTCTTCTCCCCAAAAATGAATTTGGAGTACAGACCTAATCTCTCATCTGTTCTTCTGTGCTTCATTCCTTTCCCACATAATAAATATCATCAATCTCATGGCCAGTTTCTTTAAAGCTCTCAGACAATTATCAAGAGAAAAACAGAGCACAGAAAAGTTTTTGATGTGGTGGTCTCATATCTCAACTAACATAACTTTACCAAGGAGATTGTGAAACTCTAGAATGAAGTTTAAGTGCACACGTGCACACAGATTATTGTTTCCCACATGACTCAAGAGAAATCCCAGTTGCAGTGGCTCCCCTTCAATGATTGTACGAGGAGGCTGCTGGCAGGCTGGTGATTCAAGTCGAATAAGAAATTTCAGGCAGGAAGGGGAAGGCCAGCATTCAAAAGAGACCATCTGCTTGGTTCCCTTGCCCGGGGCTCCAACCCTCAGCATACTGGGAATACTGGGGACGAAGGAACCGCAGAGAAAGGAGATAACCAGTGTGAGCTCACCGCTTGGAGTCCAGGTTTAAAATCTCTGAACTGGCCTCCTGATTTTCATCAGGACAGCCAGGGAGTGTTTGGTAAACAGCATAATGAGTAGCCGTGGAGACTCAGAGCAGCCAACCCTCCTTAACCACAGAAATACAGGACAACTGGGGTAAAGGAGAGAAAGGGAAGACCCAGGACTGGTGCACAGACCCCACCTGAAGGCCATCTTCCCTCAGGCGCCCAACCCTCGAAGGCTGTAGTTGTGTGTGGGACCCGAGGAGACAGCAGGGATCACTCCCCTTGACCAGCTCCGTCTGAAAAGAAAGCCAGCCTCCTCCGGTGGAAGCTGAAACCCAAAGGGCCGCTGAAACGGAGCGGCAGAAATCACTACCTCTCCAATCCCAGGCCTCTCCGGATGCCCCAGCGGGCTGGAAACCCCAGAGGAGGGAGGGAGCTCCCGTTTCTACAAAGTACGGTCTGGGAAGACTCCTTGGGCCCACGGGGCAAACACCCCCAGCCTCTCTCCTGCCTGTCCCCCAGCCCTAGGACCTGATCACAAAGAAGGGCTTGCACCCCATGCCCCCACCTCCCATGTAGAGGCGGGTGAGGGACTGGGAGGGTGGGGAGGAAGGAAATGGAGGACGGTCATCAAAGCTCCCCTAAACCAGCGCATCCGCATAAGTGTCCCGCCTGCTCTGGCCGCCCCTCCCCTCCAGGACACCCGAGGACCTGGCCCTGCCTTCTAAGTGACGCCGACCGGCCCGCCGCCTCCTCCTGCGCTCCCCACCGCCCCCCTCACCCCAGGGAACCCCCGCACCCCTCGGCTTCCCCGCCTCCCCTCGCTAAGTCCCTCAGAGTCTTCCATCCCCGCTTCGGCAGCAGCACTTTGACCTCCACGGGTCCCGCTCCGCAACTTCTGTCTCAGCCGAGCCGAGGAGGACTCGTCCGCTCCCCTGTGGCGCCCCCCGCTCCCCGCCCAGACTCCGCACCCCACCTCGAAACCCGGCCTCCGCGCGCCCTCCGGAGGCCCCTCGACGTCCCCTTCAGCGCTCCCCTCGGCCCCCGGACGCCGTTCAACACCGGCTCCCCACCCACCGCTCCCTCAGCGACTCGCCCCCGGACGCCCCTCAACACCGCTCCCCCACCGACTCGCCCCCGGATGCCCCTCAACACCCCTACCCCGCCCCCCGCTCCCTCAGCTACAGGAAGTTCGCGCGCGGGCGACGCGGCCCCAGAGGCTGCCCTCAGGCGCGAGCGCGGCCGCGGCCTGACAGGGCGCGGGCCCGGTTGCCAACAAGCGCCCCGCGTCCGTCCCCCCCACCCCCACACCCCGCGGAGCCCCAACCGTCGCGGCGCGTCCCTCACCTGGGCCGCCGCTCGTCTCCCGACACTCGGCGCGCCCCGCTCCGGCCGCGACTGCGTCTCCAAACCCCGGCTCCGACTCCCGCTCCGGCCCCGGCTCCCGCCCTCGCTCCGGCCGCGCTGCCCCGGCCCTGCCCTAACCCAGCCGCGGCCGCTCCTGCCGCCAGCCCCGAACGCCCCGCCCCCGCCGCGCCTGCTGTGCTCTTCCCATTGGCTGCTGAGCGTCGGGCCCCGCCCCCACGGCACCTTCGGCTCCCCTGAATGGGCCGGAGGAGAGCCGAGGCGGCACGCCCCCCAGCGAGCCAAAGGGACCTCCCCTGGGCCTCATTGGCGACTTCGCCTGTCCATCAAAGGAGGGGGCGTGCCTACTTAGCTGATGAGAGGGCGGTTGGGGTCACTTTCCCAGAGTCGCTCCAAAACTGTGGGTCCGTGAGACTTTCTCCCAGGAGCCAGAAGTGTTTCAGCTTTGCAGGCGCACCGAGATGGGAGCCGAGGGAGGGTGGCACCGCGCTTAATGGGAATTCAGGGAAGGTAGTCTTTCTGAAAGTTTCCTTTCCGACGGCACTCACAGACGCCAGTGTCATCAGGGCTTCTTAGATTCACTTGAGCCGGCTTAGTTTTTAAAAGCAGTACAGAGAGCGGTGTGTGGTCGCGCATGCGCGTGTCCGGAGCTCACGCGAAGGTTTGGGGATCCCAGGCCAAGTAACTTCCTAGTGGGGCGGCGACCCAGGGTAAACAGTAAACAAATGGCAGAAGCAGGGTCAGCAGTACCCCAGGCCTGTACTGGTTCCACAACAACCGCCTTGAAATTCAGCCGGGTGATGGTTGCTGCAATATGGAAAAACGCTTAAACTAAAATGCTAAAAGGAAAAGCCGGATAGGAAATGGCTGGGACTCTTAAAACTGCTCCTGTGTTTGCACAAGGACTAGAAGCTAGTCGACAGAAACAGAGTGGGGGTTTTTTCCCTTTCTAAGTATTTGTTTGGTTGCAATGTGCTCGTGATAATAATCATTGAGAAAGAGGGAAAGACAGGCCACCACCATGCTGTGCCAGATCCAGCTACTGTCAAGAAGTCCCCACCATTCTCCAGGACTCAGCCCACAGGGCCCACTCTGCCACCCAGAACACCTCTGGGTCATGTGTACAAAGCCCAGTCATCAGCTGAGGTCTCCCAGGCCTCTGAGATCTGGGTAAATTGCGGTTTGCACCACTTTAACTGTGAAGATCCAAAGTCAGTCCCATGGTTTCTGAACAAGTCCCCATCACCCCTCCGTCCAGCCTCCTGCTCTTTCCCACATGCCTGCTGGTCCTTGTCATCATCCCATCTCCAGCTGCACACACTCACAGTCCCCTTACACACCAAGCTCTGGGGAGGCCAGCAGGGGTTCCTGCAGCCCGGACCCCATGGGGAGGCATCAAACCTGGCACTGCCTGGCAACACAAGACACCTCTTGAGCCCTTTTGGCCTCTTGACCCTGAAGCCACTACCTGGCCACCTGACCAAGGCAGGCCTTTGGTCTCTGGCTCCCTTCTCTTCTCTCTCCTCTCTTCTAAAGACAAAAACAAGATTCCTATCATTGCTTTCCCCAGCAGTTTGATGCTGATCAGCTCTTTGAGTCTCACCTCTGTCCCCACAGCTTATCAGAGAATTTTTCCCAAGAGAGCTTTCCTTTCCATTCCGTGAGCATTCCAACTTTGACCCCCACAGAAATTTCACCATGTTGCATCCAGCCCCCTCCTATCAGATCCAAACAGCCCTGAAGCGCCATCCTGCCTCTGCTCCTTGAGCACGTACATCACTGCCGCTCTCTGTACCTCTGTGTCTGTTTTCAGCATGCGGGCGATGGCAGGGCCCCCCACCACACAGGGTGAGGAGTACATGGGGCTGATCGGGTGACAGCGAGGGGAGCCCCTCTGGCTGTGCGGGTGTGGGCGCTTGGCATCTCATCAGTTAATGTAGTTGCGCTCTGTCACTGTCATTTGGCTCCCTCCTCCTTGCAAAATGGGCTCATTACCTAAGTCTGGGGCAAAGGCTGACAGGTCCTTTATTAGCCATTTCCCACTAAACAACTGGGATAAACAGTCAGCCCAAGTTAAAACCTACTTTCACAGGGACTTCCCTGGTGGTTCAGTGGCTAAGACTTCGCACTGCCAATGCAGGGGACCCAGGTTCAATCCCTGGTTGGGGAACTAAATCCCACATGTTGCAACTAAGATCCAGTGCAGTCAAATAAATGGTACCCAGTCACTTCAGTCATGTCCGACTCTTCATGACCCCATGGACTGTAGCCCACCAGGCTCCTCTGTCCATGGGATTCTCCAGGCAAGAATACTGGAGTGGGTTGCTAAGCCCTCCTCCAGAGGATTTTCTTGGCCCAGGGATCCAAACTGTATCTCTTGTGTCCCCTGCATTGACAGATGGATTCCCTACCACTGCACCCAATCAAATGAATAAAATAATTTTAAAAATTGTTTCACAGAGAATAAAACAGTCCCCCCCAAAATTAAAATGTCCAGATACAGTTATTGTACAGTGGTACAGGAACATCTTCCAAGAAAAAAAAATTCAAAATCTGTTATAGATAGTTCTTTGATTGATAATTACAATGTTTAAAGAGTGTGCAGGACAGGGAATAGGGTGGATTCAGGCTGGGATGGACTTGAGTCCTGTCTTGCTTCCAGGAAGACCCAGCAAGGATATCAGACCTAGAAAAGGCCTCCCCATGATCCCCAGAGGGTCACCATATTGAGTGTGTGAGTGTTCACTCAGTCCTGTCCAGGTCTTTGCAACCCCTTGGACTATATAGCCCACAAGGTTCCTCTGTCCATGAGATTTCCCAGGCAAGAATACTATAAATGGGTTGCCATTTCCTTCTGCAGGAGATCTTCCTGGCCCAGGGATTGAACCTGACTCTCCTGTGTCTCCTGTATTGCAGACAGATTCTTTACTACTGAGCCACTGGGGAAGCCCTGCCTTATTGAAGGCAGTGATATTTAACTGAGCCAAGGTGAATGGAAAGGATGAGCAAAGGCCCAGAGGCAAGAGATCCTGCTGCCCAGGGAGACAGGTGGGTTCTTCTTGGCTGGAGCATGCAACTGAGCAACAAGTAGCCATGCAATTCTAGCAATCTGTTTTGCCACTCCAGGTCTCAGTTTTCTCAACTGTAAAATGGGCATAATCACAGAGTCTAGTGTTTAGAGAAATTGCCAGGATTCTTGAGGTCACTCCTGTGACGCTCTTAGGACATAGCTGGTACAGTCAGTGGCTGTTAAGTGTTTTACAAGGACCTCTTCGCAGTTTGTACAAGTATTCTTTTTAAAAATTTGTGATTGGCCTTTCAGCAGCTGAGAAGTTGAGCAGATGGCCTGGAGAAGGACTTCGGATTTCGTTGTCCTCCCAGCACTTCGACCCTCTCCTGAAGCCCCTGGCTAAAATGGTTTGAACCCAGAAGAAAAAAAAAATGTGGTTGGGACTTCCTTGGTGGTCCAGTGGTTAAGACTGAGCTTCCACTGCAGGAATTGCAGGTTTGATCCCTGACCTGGGAACTGAGATCCCTCAAGCCAAGCTCACTGCAAAAAAAAAAAAAAAAGTGATTAAAAAACAAAACAAAACGAGAACACGTACTGTGCACCAAGTGCTAATACTCTGGAGACATCAGAGTGTTAACTGTTGGGGACAGAGGAATACGTCTCTGGATACACCTTGGAATGAAGTGCTCCCTGCCAAGTTGTGTAAAGATCTGAATTCCTTATAAATGTGTCATTGACTAGGAGGCAGCTACCCCGGCCTTTCTTCCTTTGATTAGCTTTGCTCCATGCTGGCTTGTGCACGTCTGCTCACATAAAGGTATGCCAGCAAGTACAGGGCTCCCCTCATACCTACCACACTCAAGTCAGCACCACTGGGCCAGACACCTGGGCCTGGAAATCACTCCTTCCCAAAGTCAGTAGGATATGGTCAGCATCACCTGGACAGCATTTCCCAAAGTGGGCATCTCCAGGATGCTCTGCATTGGGATCACCCCATTTTCCACAAGTCCCTCTGTTGATTCTTCTGCCTCACACAGTCTGAAGCACTATTCTGGGTGTTGACTGAGAACTCTTAACTTTTTCTAAGTGGTTACAGGGTTACATTGTTGCCATTGGTGCCAAAGTGGAGAAAGTATCAACAATGAAACCAATACTTTCAAGTTGGGTGTTTTGAAACTCTGACTGAGGACCCGTCCTGCCCAGACTTCATCTGTGATACATTGTAAAGTATTTTCTGCCACGTGATAAAGATTTGACCTCCCTAAGGGACTCCTTCCTTGAGTCCCTGCATTTCAGGACGGTGAGGTCCTGAACACCGCAGTGACGTCATCCTGAATGCCAAGCATCATCTTATGCTTTTCAGGCTCCTGGACCAGATAAACTGAAAGTCACCCTGTGATTGTAAAATAAGATTTTGTTTACGATGTTATCGTGCTTCTCTACTAATGTGAATCCAGATTTCCTTGACACAAAATAAAATTAGATACTGAAGCTAACTGTTTTTAAAAAACTGGAGCAGTCTCAAAATGCATATTCATCGAAAAAGTGACATCTGTGGGACTTCCTAGGTAGTCCAGTGGCTAAGACTCTGGGCTTCCAATGCAAGGAGCCCAGGTTCCATCCCTGGTCAAGGAACTAGATCCTGCACACCACGACAAAGATAGAAGATCCAGTGTGCTGCAACTAAGACCAGGCACAGTCAAATCAATCAATCAATACATAATTCTTTTCATTTGAAGTGACCTTGCTCTTGTTGGTTAGTTGTATAACAAATACTTAAATGTTACAAATTTGAACTTATAAAAGAAGTTGTACCAATACTTATAAAATAAATGTACAGCAATAAAATGCTGCTATTGGTTACATATAGGATATTATGGAAAGACTCCCACCACTAAAAACATAAAGAAGGTTTGAAATCACAGTTGGAGACAGTGGGGAGCTATCAAGGGCTGTTCTTGACTCCCAGACCAGCTATTACCAAAGGTTCTGCTGACCAGAAGTGACTTTCATCTGTGTATCTGTGCCTGACTTGTTGAATTACCATCCGGGAATGCTGGACAAGGGCTCTGCCTTGGAGGTGTCTGCGTCTTGCCTGGGTGGATGTGGGCACTTCAGGTGGGCTGGCTTAGGCTCCCTCCCTAGCCAGGGCTTGAGATTGTAGTGACTGTATGCCACTATCCTGGAAGTGGTACAAGAAGTAGCACTGTGGTCCAGCTCCCACCCCAACTCTGGTTAAACATTTAATTGGGTCCCAGTCCCTTCCTGGTGGCAGAGGAAAAGAGGAGAGGTCTGAGCACCACAGGTCCAGTTTTATATTTTGCTAAAAAAGCATTCTACCCCCCACCCCCACCCCCCACCCCCAGCAATTAATCAAGCCTAGGACTCAGTCAAAGGCTCAAGGGTTCATTGTTCTTTTTTGCTTTGTTATTGCAGCATTTTTTCTTTCTTTTCTTTTTTTTTTTTTAAAGCAGGTTTAGGTTTACAGGTTTGGGCATGTCACCTCACTTCCCGGCCTCAGTGTCCTATCTGGACAGAGAAACAGTGGCTAACCCCTACTAGATGGGGTAGGAGGGGTAGAGGAATTAAACATATTAATAGATGAAAAAGACTTGCATGGTACCTGGTGCAACAGAGGCACTCACCCGACCAATGATGCTGCGGGCCTTGGGCCACAGGGTCAGGCACATCCTCATCTGTAAAGGAGAGGGAGGAGCCTGGCAGGCCCCAGCAGACATGCCAGCTCCCTCTCCCTCTCCTGCACTCCCTGCCCCACAAGGAGCAGAGCCATGGATGCTGCTCCTGAGAGTGGACATGATGCAGGGAAGGCAGATTTCCCACCCAGGTGAGTGCCAGGCCCACTGGCATTATCACCTGCAAAGGAATGCGGGCACCATCCCTCCAGATCACAGGCCATCCCACCCTGCTGCCCTGTTCCCACTCCCACTGCCCTCTGCTCCTCCCTGGATCCTGTTCCTGCCCCCGCCTCATCTCCTGTCCTTCCTTCTCACTCAGTGGGAGCCTCCAACCAAGTCTGAGACCCGCCTGAAAGCCACCCTCCAATCCAGACAGCCCCACTGGCAGCAGGGGGTGGGAGGGGCCAACCCCAGGTCAAGTTCAAGCAGTTCTTATGCCCGGTGGACTGCCCATGGTCACCTTCTTTCTCTGGGTCTGGGCAGTAAATGGTCGATCCACACCAGAGCCTGCCAGGGTGGATCTGGGATGGGTTTTGAACCATCTGAGTGGAGCTGTGTACACCACGAGGCAGGAGTATGTGACGAAGGACTGTTCCTTTTCTCCTCTAGGATTGATGGACAGAAGCTCAGAATGTGTGGTCAGCTGGGTATCAGGCAGAGGGGTGATAATTTCACACTGAAGTGTACTGGGCAAGGGGTGGGGTGGGTGGGAGAGACTGGCAGGAGGAGGCTGCTTTGGGGACCACAGAACATCAAAGCTGGAAGACCCCGAAGGATGGGCAGGAGAGTCTTCCTAAGGTGAGGAAGCAGAGGCCCAGGGAAGTCTGATGAGCTGCTGGAGGTTTTCCATCCATCAGGGCCGGAGACCCTCTCAAACCCGGGCTTTCTGACTCCTTCCTTCCTTCCCTGCATCAAGTCTTTCTCTCCATCTGACACAGCAGACACAGGATACCAGGTACCAAGCTGGGCATGAATGAAAAACAACACTTTCCCCACTTTTCAGCAACTCATGCTAGTGGGGGCCAGAGGGGGGAGCCTGTGAACAATGATCTTGAAGGGTCCAAGCAGTGCCCTGGGGGTCCCGGAGGGCTCCCAAGAAAACCAGCATTTCAGCAGATTCTCAAAGATTGGCAGGGCAGGGCTTGGAAGGACACGTCTGAAGGGCAAGTCATGGGAGCTATGGGTGCAGGGTTGTCAGCCTGAGACTGTGGAGCACACGCAGATCCTTAAAGGCTGGAGGGAAATATCCCTCCTGACAGTTCAAGACCAAGGTCAGGGTTGTCCAGCCGAGGGCCTGCTCCTGGGAGCCGTCCCCTGGGTATGTGGGTCCTGGCACCTCCTGGGTGGCCTGGGGTATAAGACAGCAGGGCCAAGGCTCCTCTCACTGTCCCTCTGAACACATCCTTCCTGTTGTGACAACTCTGTTCTCTGTGTAACTGGTTCCAGCCCGTGGCTCGGGTTTCAGATTTCACGAGAGCACTCATTGAAGCTGATGGGAGTATCATGTGGGCCCTGGGGACAGCCAGCCTGCCAAGCCCAGCCCTGCTAATTACAGGTCACAGCTTTCTTGTTAGGTGCCCAGACAGCAGGCACCCTGAGCCAGGCCCTCCTGGGGACCAGGCCTGGGAGACTGCTATCGCTCCCTCATTCAGGCAGTCTTCACTCTGCACCTGCTGGGTGCCTGGGGAGGACCCGAGGGGGCTGAACTGGCCCTGACTTCTCCCAGCCCTCAATATCAATCACAGCTGCCACCCAAAGGACCCCTTTCCACTGGGACAGCCCCATGATGGTGCTTTATCTATGAGAACTCCTGCTTCCCTACACCAACTCCACTTTGCACTTTGGGGAAACTGAGGCTCAGGGGGATAAGATGACTTGGTCAAGGTTATAGACTTAAGCTAGCTTAAAACTCAACATTCAAAAAACAGATCATGGCACCCAGTCCCACCACTTCATGGCACATAGAAGGGGAAAAGGTGGAAACAGTGAGAGATTTTATCTTCATGGGCTCCAAAATCACTGCGGATGGTGACTGCAGCCATGAAATTAAAAGACGCTTGCTCCTTGGGAGGAAAACTATGACAAACTGAGACAATGTATTAAAAAGCAGAGATATCACTTTGCCGACAAAGGTCCATCCAGTCAAAGCTCTGGTTTTCCAAGTAGTCATGTACGGATACGAGAGTTGGATCATAAAGAAGGCTGAGTGCTGAAAAATTGATGCTTTTGAACTATGGTGCTGGAGAAGTCCAAGGGACTTCTTGAGAATCTCTTGGACTGCAAGGAGATCAAACCAGTCCATCCTAAAGGAAATCAACCCTGAATACTCATTAGAAAGACTGATACTGAAGCTGAAGCCCTAATACTTTGGCCACCTGGTGCGAAGAGATGACTCATTGGGAAAGGCCCTGATTCTGGGAGAGATTGAGGGCAGGAGGAGAAGGGGACGACAGAGGATGAGATGGTGGGATGGCATCACTGACTCAATGGACATGAATTTGAGCAAGCTCTGGGAGACAGAGAAGAACAGAGGAGCCTGGTGTGCTGCAGACGATGGGGTCACAGAGTTGGACACAAATGAGTGACTGAACAGCAAGAACAAGCTCTCATTTGGGAAAATATCAAGGAATGGTGATTTTTTTTCCAGTAAGGAATTGTTTTGTATTTACAGGCTTTCGTGTCATTGAACTCTGAGATCAGAAATTTGGCTAAACATGTGAGGAGTTATATGAAAATGTTTGAGGTCACCAAACTCATA